ATTTTCCCAAAAACTTAAATTTGAAAAAAGATTAAGAGGATATATCACAAAGGTATTAAAAAGTTATACATATATGACAGTTACAAGTCACTAATTTATTGTGCATTTTCGATGATTCTAAAATATTTGCAAATGACAATGTACTGGTTTTTACTTTAAATATTTCAAAAAAAGGTAAAAATTTTCAAAAATCCTTAAGTACTTAAATTTAATAAATATTAAAAAATACTTTAGATTGGTATCACCCTTTAGTTATCAAACTGCAGATGTTTGTGTGAAAATACAACTTGACCATATCTACATTTCATACAACTTAGATTTTTAAATTATAAAATGACCAAAATAACAAATATTAGGAGTATTATGTATCTTCAAACATTAAATAAGTAAATTACTGAATTTTGCTGTGGATAATGTGCACTTTTTTGCCCAAATTTTTGAGGGAAAAATAAGAGTGTATATCATACATGGGTAGTACTAATTCCACATCTATATATTTTTAATTCTCTTATTTATGCTTATGCACTAACAGTGTAACTCTAGAAAGCAAAAATGATTTCCATATGCAAAATAATACCCTGGAATACAATAATTAGTTTTGTTTCTAAATATAAATAAAAAAATTAAGTGAAAGATTTTTTTCTTGAAAATTTGGACCAAAAACATGTGTGCGCATTATACACGGGAGCACATTATACATGGCAAAATAAGGTAACTTAGTTCTCAGAATTTATATAAAACACATTAAGCATGTTATCCTATGACAAAAAAATCACCACACTACAGGGGTGGGCAAGAGTAGGTTTATAGTTGCGAGTATGCAAAACAGAGGTTTTACATTATTATTGTTATTTGTATTGCAACTGTAAACCTACTTTTGCCCTGTTCTGTATGAAGTTGAGGCTCTTTAGCTCAGGGGTTCTCAAATACCTGGCCCATAAGAATGCCCTGGAGGGCTTGTTAAAGCAGTTTGCCAGTCCCACTTCCAGAGGTTCTGATTCAGTAGGTCTGGGCTGGGGCCTAAGAATGCACATTTCAACACGTTTCCAAGTGATGCTCATGCTGGGGTCCAAGAACTGCACTTTGAGAACCACTCTAGCACACATAATTGTTTTAAATTGGTCATGTCATTAAGCTAAATTTACAAGTAAAAAGAGATTTAAAAAGTTATTTACCAAAGTTCATACTTCAAAGCTACTAATTACTGTAGCCATTACCAAAATCTAACTTGGCATGTCCTTGACACAGAATTTGAACAACTATTATTATTTTTATCATCATCATCATCCCTTTCTAATAGATCAGAAACTAAGGCTCAGTGTGTTAAACTTTTTAACTGACAGGGCCACAATTCATAAGTAGGCGGACAACCCCCAGCAGTTGAGAACCTACCAGTGTACTAGGCATTTACATAAGAAAAAGATGAATTAGATAGAACCCTGTCCTCAGGGTGCTCATTCTGGCAGAAATACAGGTTAAACAAAGAACAAGGTGCTAGGAGAAAAGCAAAGGGAAGAAAGGTAACAGCCGTACCTTTCCTACAGCCGTACACACCATTAGCTCTTACACTACAAACCTCACAATTTAGAATTAGACTCCTGTAGTCTCATATTAGACTTTGTCTTCTGTAGCCCTACTTCTCCAACCTAATTTTCTCCTCCCTGAGCCGAGAACCCATGTTTTCATATGGTTCTCAAGATAACTAACGTAGGAGTTTCAGAAATTCTTGTGAAGTGATTGGTTGATAGGCTGATCTTACAGAATTGCAGAAATTGTACTGTGTGTCTAAAATGACACACTTTTGAAATATAGGCAAGAATCCAGGAGTTTTGAAAAAACATTACATATTGTTTTTAATATTCTTTTCACTTAAGTCTTAACTTCAGTTGTCTTAAAGGTGTATAGTTTTAATCAGTGGTATTAATAATATTGACTTCTTTCACTCAAGATGTCTCAGTAGTTAAAGGAATTTCAACAACTAAGTTTTAGTAGAGAAGACCCAGCCAAAGAAACACCAGCTAAGAAAACTAAGGAACTGCCTTGGCTGGTGTGGCTCAGTGGACTGAGTGCCGGCCTGCGAACCAAAGGGTCGCCAATTCTATTCCCAGTCAGGGCACATGCCTGGGTTGCAGGTCAGGCCCCCAGTAGGGGTTATGTGAGAAGCAACCACACACTGATGTTTCTCTCCTTCTCTTTCTCCCTCCCTTCCCTCTCCCTCTAAAAATAAATAAAATCTTTAAAAGAAAGAAAGAAAACTGAGGGAACAGCTACACAATCAGGGAAAAAACCAAGAGTGGAATGTCAAGAAATAAAGAAGTGTTTCAAAGAGTCTGGACAGTTGTGTCAGGTAAGCTGAGAAGTCAGGAAAGGTAAAAACAAAGGTATCATTGGATTTAGACACCCTAGTCATTATGTCTTAAGTAAGCACACAAAACTCAGAGTTGGAATGGGTTGGGAATTATTTGAGGTGAGGAAAGGGAGACAGCAGGGGTAACAGGTTTGAGAACTGTGACCACAAAGGGAAGGTTCAGTAGTAGCAGGATAAGGATAGGTTGAGAGAGGACTGATACTCTTTTTAAGACGTGATATATGACCATGGAAGGATCTGCTTTCTATTGATTTGCGCTAATACTATGGTAATGGTGGCAAAATTTTTTTCATTTCAGCAAAAAGCATTACCATATAGTTTTTCAATTCCCCTGAACTGAGCATAAAGATCTCTCACTTTGCTGGGTAATGAATAAAAAGGACCAAGATCATCTGATGATGACTCAATTGTTTTCTTAGCAACATTAATTTCTTCAGAGAGGAGGGTCTCTTTGAGCTGTTTAGTCCTTGAAAATATTGGTGTTTGGGCCTTTGCATTTCCAGTCATGGTACTTTTTAGAAGATCTTTAAGGCTTTTTCTCCTATTCGCTTCAGAACTAGTTTTGACTTCAGAAGAGGATTCATCAATTTGCTGGGGTTGCTCTATGCTATTATGGGGCAATTCCTCATTCACAGTCTTGTGAGAGGATGAGTTCCAATCCCTCTCTTTAGTAGACTGATCCCCCAAATCATCTGAAGAGTTCTGCAAATTTTCAAAGTATAAAACCTGCGAGGAAGGCAATTCATACAAAAGATCAGCTCCAGGTTCAACAGAGACATCTTCATGTCCGCTGTGGTTCTTTGTGTGCTCATGTGTTTTTAATTCAATAAAGCTACCTACAGTTGTAATGCTGAGTTTGTTATATTTGATGCTTTCTGAACAAAGATCTTCAGTGGCAAGGTCTGTATCATGTTTTCTATTTTCAGAAAGGTGCATATATTTTTGTTCCAGGTCATCAACTTGAGCTAAAAAAGAATTTTCAGCAAAGCTATCATAGTCACCAAACATGTCCTCTTCACTATCATTATTCTGGAAGAAAAACAAAAATATTTATAGTCAATTCTAGCTTTATTAAGAATAAAAGTTTCAGCCTAGGGCTATACCAGGCTTTTAATTAAATGGACACATATGAATCATAGACCTAAATGTAAATCATATGAAATAGATATTATCATCCCCATTTTACAGATGAAGAAATGGAGGCCTACAGAAGGTAAGTGACTTGCCTAAACTGCACTCCTAAAGCATGATGATGCTGGGATCCTAATCCTAAAGTCAATGCTAAATCTTTCAAGTAGTAGGTAGCAAGACTGGTAGACATCTATTGGGATGTCATCTCACTAGAAGTTCTGATACTGCACTATCCCTCCCCTCCCTGACTCCAATCTACATGGTTGCATGTAACAAAACCATTCTTTTATTACTGGCACTCCAAGGAAATTGTCCCTAGGAATTTGGAATTGAGAGGGAGAGTCTACATACTGATATAAAGGTGGTCTAGTAAACAGAAGAGATGTAAACTTGGAGGTAGCAATATAGCGCAGTGTTTAAAAACACAGGATTTGGAGTGAGAAGTGTAGTTTCTTAACTTCTTGGGGTCTGATTTCTGCTGTAAAATCTAGTTAATGTAACTAGCTTAACAAAGTACCTAGCACATAATTGATCTGCAATAAATGGGAGATTTTATTGTACAGCAGAAGCAACAGTGACTTCGAAGTCTAACATTGCGTCTCAGTCATGCCGCTTGTTTTATGTCTCGGGGATCTAAATTCCTATCTATATAAAAACGGGGATAACAAGGCAATGCCTGACAAGTGAGAATTAACAGGGTAACAAAACTGAGGTAAGCACATGAAGACTAGTAGATAACTGGTCAATTGTTTGCACCTGAGAAGGAAGCTGTCAAAATTTCGGAGTTTCAAGTTCCATGCCTTCTATAACTGGTCTCCCACAACCTCTTTCGGTGGGAATGAGCAGTAGGAGACCTGGGTTTGTATCACTACCCCAAAGGTGGGAAATGGGATGAGGAACTCGGGGTAATATGAGAGCCGATGGGGCTGTACCTTGACGCGTTGCACTCCTACAGTTTTCCGTCGCCGGCTCCCAACCTCCATCTCCTCCTCCACCTCATCTTCCTCCTCCTCTTCCTCTTCATCGCCCGGCTTGGGCTCGGCGACGGTGGGAGCGGCAAAAAGGATCTCCAGGCTAGGACGGTTCTTTTTGCGGACAGACACCCGCCGGCGGATGCGGGAACCATCTTCATCCATAGCAGGGGCTGGGGGCCCTGCCCGAACGAGGTCTCCCTTGACCCAGCCGCCAAGACACAGTGGAAGGGTGAGTGGGGGACAGGGCAACAGCAGCAACAGCGGGAAAGGTCGCTACTCTCTCCACCCACCTTGGTCAAAGACCACAAATGAATTGTTCTCGGGCCGGAAGCGGAGGCACAGGCGTAGCAGCGCGCCTCCTTTTCGTCCAATCATAAGTGTCGCGAGCTTGCGGTGCGCTGAGAGTGGGCACGTATAGGGGCTGCGCAAACGCATTGAAAACTCTTTTTTCGAGTCCCCGGTGTCTGCTCGCGGAACCTTTGACCGGAGTCCTCAGGCTAGCCCCGGAAGAGCACCGGAAGGGACCTGTGAGGACGATTTAGAAACGAAAGGAAGAGGAGGGTCGAGGAACCATGGCCTGTATGGTGGCTGTTTGCAGTGGTCTAGGGAGGAAAAAGTTGACGCACTTCTTAAAGGCCGCTGTCAGCCTCCCAAATCCCGGGACTCACGCCGGTAAAGTCTCCGTATCCTATGCTCCGTATCCTATGCTCCATGTAGCACTGCAGCCGTTGTCTTAGCCCGAATTAGGCCAATAGAGTCGCCACTGCTATGCTATCTAAGCGACGCCGGTTTCCAGGCGATGTAAGAGTCTCTCCAAGATAGGTGGGAATCTGTAATGGCCCATGACTAGTATTTTAAAGCTTAAGGGAAATGAGATGTTTTCTAGTTTTTTGCTTTTTTAAACATACGAGGAGAGTGATGGAGTGATTATTAAAAAAGAGGCAGGGATTTGCCTAAGATCTCCAGGTAAACTTGGTAAGGAAGGAACATTTTCAAGAGTCATCCGGCAGCAAATTCCAGATGTTGGAGGTCCCAAATTAGGGCGAAATTGTAACACAGGCCCTCGAGTCTATCATTTCTGCACTTTATCTTCTGTGTGTTTCTGTATCAATAATTAGCTCCCCTTTGCAGGGGTTCGTTACTCATTTTCCCTTTAGTATGACAGTGCCATTTTCTTGGTTCTCCCCTAATTATTTGCATTAAAAGTCTGTTTCTAACCATGGAGTTAAGGGAAAATAAATATCGGAAGAGAGCACACAAAAGATTGTATGAGTTAGGAAATGGGTATATGCCTTTTTTCCAAAGCCCTGGAAGATACATCCATATTGTCTTACTCTGCGTCAAATCTAAAGGTTTTTATCCAATCATTGTGTGTATAATGAATATAAATTTGCCATTTATATTCAGGTGTCCTTAATTTTATGTCCCCTGATTCATCTTATTCCATAAAATCAATTTGTTGCTGTTTCTGTTTAGTTGCAGTGCTAAGAAGTTGTTCACAGTATCAACAGGTAACCAGCAATGAGGATCTGGTAAGAATTCTTTTTCTTTTTTATAAGACATTTGCAAATATGACCAAATTCTTATATTTTAGCTATTTGAATAGAATTCAGCTGGAGGACAAAACAATAATCATTAGTCTGAGTTTGAAAGTTGTAGTTTATTGCTGAGTAGTCACTAGAGTTTTGGAGAGAATTCCTAGATTCCTAGCAAGAAGGATAGCTTCTGTAGTAACATGTTTTTCTTTCTAGATCTTAAATTTAAGGATATGTGCTTTGGAAATTAATAAAGGTTGTGGGTGGATGGAATAATTGCAGATAGTTCAACAAAAGCATTGTACAAAAGCTTATGTACAGGTTGGCTCTCTTCCCCATTTCAACTTTTATCTTTGTCCCATTCATCACTTTTGGGTGGGAGGGTGTCTTAATAAATGAGGGATCAAAATTAAAGTTTCATAGGTGTACATTAAATACAGTTTCTTCCATCCTGTAGATGCATTTTTATGGATTTTAAGTACTAGGAACTGGACTTGGGCAATATAGGTTTTCTTGCTACTTGCAAAGATAATTTGACACTACTTAGACCATACAAAGCACTTAGTACAGTGTAGGGAAGGATTATAGTCAGTCATTACACATGAGATGAGTATAAATTGGATTAAGAAAGTTTGAAGATTTGAGAAAAAAACAAAAGAACTCTAGTCTTTTGAGCTTCTCTCTTGGTTATTCAATCACACCATACTTCAAGAAAGGAATTACTAGAGCACCTTTTTAGGTTATAACCCTTGCTGAGTCGCTAATGAAAGCTATAGGCTCTTTCAGAAAAAGGCACACAGTCCCACTCATTTGAAATTGTACATCCCACTACAGGGGTTCAAGGACCTCAAAGGCATTTCTAGATTAAGAATCTCTAGACTGGAGATGCCTTATACTCATTGTAGGAGGGAGGCATTATGAGAAAGGGAGGCAGTGGTAAAGAAGGAAAAAACAAAAGCTGACACTTATAAAGTCTGGAGACCATAAAATTGTAGTCAAAGGACCGTATAGTAAGCCATTGGGTTGTTTCTTTTTATTTTTTTAAGATTTATTTATTTATTTGTAGAGGGCAGGGAGGGAGGAAGAGAGGGAGAGAAACATCGATGTGCAAGAGACATGTCAATTGATTGTCTCTCCCATGCCCCCAACTAGGGACTGGGCCCACAACCCAGGCATGTGCCCTGACTGGGACTCGAACCAGCAGCCTTTTGGTTCTCAGGCTGGCACGCAATCCACTGAGCCACACCAGCCAGAGCTCAATGTCTTTTTGTAACAAAAATAGTGATAAACCATCTAATAGAGAAGTATGGGTATAGATTTAGGAATTATACTAACTTAATGATTAAATATGATATCTGTTGTGCGGTAAGATTTTTAAAATTTAAATCTAAGAACTTTTAGCTCTGGCCTGGTAGCTCAGTTGGTTAGAGCGTCATCTTGATACACCAAGGTTGCGTAAGTGGGCACATAGAAAAAGCAACCAATGAATGTATCAATGGGTGGAACAGCAAATTGATGTGTTTCTGTCTTTAAAAATCAATTTAAAAAAAAAAGAATTTTTAGTCACCTACAATCTGGGCAAAACGAGAATCACTTGGCACAGATTTGATTTTTTTTTTCCCATAAACGCTTTTTTCTCTGAAGATTGTATTTTATCCTAGAACCCTCCATGACTTACTTCCTCCTTAGCCAAACTAAAACAAAATAAAGAACTTGCACAAAACATGGACAAACACAGTGAAATCTTTAAAATGGTGACTCCTTTTCAGAAGTACTTGTTTTCTTTTACAAGCCAAAATGTTGTATTTATTCCTTTACACAGTAAGACAGAACTAATCCTTTGGATAGATTTGGATGTGGTAGCCTTAAGGTTTAGTTTTTTTTAGATTCAAGTTTAACATGTTAAACCTTATCAACAGGTTTTTTCCTTTTATCCTAGCCCATTCCAATGGAAAATCCTTATAAGGAGCCTCTTAAAAAATGTGTCTTGTGTGGAAAACGTGTAGATTATAAGAATGTACAGGTAAGGTCTGGTTTTACTTCACTATACTTCATTGTAGGATTTTGCTTCTTTATTAGTCTTAAAGAGAATCAAGTTTTATAACAAGCTTTGTGCAGGGGCAACTGTTTTAGCAACATCTTAATTTCAAATCTGGTTATATTTCTATGGATAAGGAATCTTCTTTAATTCTAGTATTAGGTCACTATGGTAATTCTCAGTTGGTAGAAGTGAGTAGTTTGGAAAAAGCTCCTCTGGTGAAGCTGATGACCTCTGTACCTCACCACCACCATCACTGCTTCAAATACAATTTTATCTGTTGTACAGCTCTCAGCAAGTTAAGTGGCAAATCTGGTTACAGAATGATGGTGGAATTAAGTATATTGACAATAGTATAAAGCAGTAGCTGCCTTATAGGGAGAAAAACTGAGGTTTTAAAATGCAGCATTGTTAGGAGGATAATGCATAGTGCCAAGAACAGTGCCTGGATCCTGGGATGTGCTGAAGAATTTAATGAAAGGTAATTATAGCAAATTACCTGATACACCTATATCTCATAAAGATTTCACTGTAGTCTGGTATTATGTGACCGCCTATCATGACAGATGAAATGTTTAGTACTTCGTTGTAAGCAGTAGTTTTTTAGAAAAGTATCTGTAAAGAAGTCAAGAAAACAGCTTTAGCACTGCAAGAATATGCCCATTAATCTGTTGTACAGACTTTTTTGAACAGACTGGGTAAGAGATGTTAACTTTAGTAATTAATTATGTTAGTTATTTACAAACATGACCTATTAATAGAATGAGCATAATTCAGTATTTTCATATTTTATGACATTTGTCTGAAATTTATATTAATAACCTTTACATAACTTGGAGACATGAGGTATGCTTTCTGAAATGTACACAGTCAAGGTTGAATAACAAATGTATTGATGTAAATTTTTTTTTCCTCTCCAAATAAAACTCAAACAGCTTTTGTCTCAGTTTATTTCTCCATTTACTGGATGCATTCATGGAAGGCACATAACAGGTATTTTATTTTGTCTTACAGTTAACTTATATTTTTGTTATTTAAGAAAACTGGCAAATTTTCAAATAGTGCTATAAATCAGTTAGAAACCTTACTATTTAATAAAGCATCTTAGTCCAAAAGGAGTATTATTTTACATGTCTTCTTATACTCAAAGGTAAGCTGACAACATGTAGAAAACCTGGGCTTAAAAAGTTGTGTTGGTATTTTGGAGTATACTATGATTACATCTAGACGATTATTTATAAACAGGGGCCTATTTCCCATAGGCCAAATTGGATCTGCCACTTATTTTTGTGAATAGCTTAGTCTACGTAGTGTCCATAGCTGGCTGCTTTATGTACTAAAAGAGTAGAGTTGAGAAGTTATGAGAGACTTCTCTGTCATGTATTGCCCACAAAGCTAAAGATACTTACTATCTGGCTCTTTACAGATCTTCCAACCTTTCCTTTACTTAGACAATTGTTACGCATTTTGAATATTGGTATTTTTTAATGAATAAGGAAGCACTTTCTTTTATAGGTCTTTGTGGGAAGAAACAAAAAGAGATCACAAAAGCAATTAAGAGAGCTCAAATAATGGGTAAGAGCATCTGAAAAAATGATTTGAGCTAATCAAAATTTTGCCTATTTTCTTTGGTGAAGAACTTTAATTCTCTCTTTACAGGGTTTATGCCAGTTACATACAAGGATCCTGTGTATCTCAAAGACCCTAAAGTTTGTAATATCAAATATCGGGAGTAAAATGTATAAAGTTATCATCAATAAACTTATTTTAAAATAAATGGTTGACGACTCAAACTATAAAATTTAATAACCTTTAGAAAATCACTAGGCTAAAGTAAACCTTATCAGACTATATTGTTTTTAGCTCTTAATAATATAAAATCTCATGAAGAAAAAGTTTTAGGAATAAAGTGAGGCGCTTCCTATTCATACCAGTGGATCTTCATTAAAATAAAACGAGGTTGTTTGAAATGTTAATACTCATTATATTTACACACACACGAATAAAATTGGTACTGTACAGTGTCACATATGTACTACAAATAGCCTATACAACAATAGACTGCTGATAATGGGATATTAAATATGGAAGGGATGACCTGTATTAGAATTTTACTAAGGTCCAGGTTCTATCTTATACGTGGAATTTTAGAGATACGGGTGTACAGGAAAGTAGAATGCTTGTATAATGTGAAATTTCCATGTGACAGGATGTGGACTTGAAATTGCTCAGGGACATTTTCTAACTAGCAAATACAGGTACACCAAGTACAGCCCAAACTATTTGTGCTGCATTACTGTCGTGGAATAATTAGAACTGCCAGATTTAGCAAGTAAAAATACACGACATACAATTAAATTTGAATTTCAGGTAAACAATGAATAATTTTTAAATATAAGTATGTCGCTAGTTTTGTATGGTGTCCAGAATTTTATCTGGCAACCCTACTCATAATATACTATTTATCATAACTTGACTTGGAATTGCAATGAGTTTAGAAAAAAATATTCATATTAACTTTCCGAATTCTAAAGAATGCTGTACAAGTTTAAAAACTATTTAAACTTCCTCTCAACAGTTTAGTAAAAGGTACAAAAAAGGTTTTGGTTTTTAAAGTACTTTATAAAATAATTGCACTAGAAATTTATGTATGACTGCAAACAGCTATACATAGCAAAAACAATAGAAATATTTGGCTTTACCCTTCAGCCAATCAAAATCTTTTGGCATAAAAGGATCAAAATGTAGGAGACTGTGGATATTCATCAGAATCCTTCATTTTCTCAATCTCTTCATCTATTTCTGGGCTGCTTGTGGATGCTTTTTCTTGGTTACTACTATCAGTATCTGTTTTAGATGGTTGGTTCTGTATCTCTAACAGCCGTGACTTCTTGAACTGCCATCTTTCATCTATATCTAAAGCTTTGCGCTTCATCATTTGCCGAGCACTACTAGCTGGACTAGCTTCAGGAATGTCAGTGTATTCTACCATTAGGGTCAGGTTGTCTACCACATTGAGTTGGTGGTTGGTATTGCAGCTACTTTCAGAAATATGCCTGTTTCTCACGGAGATAACACATGAATGAAGAAATTCACGATCCGGAAAAAAGGTCCGTAAAGCTTGACAAAGAAAAATGTTCTCCTGAGGGTCTTTTTGGACATTCTTCTCCCCTAAACAAAATAAAATACCAATTCAACATACAATAGTTCTACAAAGATTTTACAACTACCTATTTGTTGTAATTAAGTTGAGTTAACAACACTAACAGTTTTATTAAATTATCTAACCTGAGAAAAATAACTTGCATGATCCCAAATTATAATTTATATGTCATAATATTCTAAGAAAACAGTATAGTTAAATTTTCTAATATCGACAATAGAGTATAGCTATAGTGTTCTTTGTTCAGGGGGATTTCAGAGAATTAACAATTACTTTTTTAAAAATTCTTCAGTTGTCCCCATTTCCCCCCTATTACTCTCCCCCACCCTACCCACCCCTACCTCCCACATTCAATCCTCTTTCACAGCCTCTCACCCCCCCACCCCCATTGTCTTTATCCATGTGTCCTTCATACATGTTCCTTGAGGACCCTTCCCCTTCCCTCTTATCCTCCTCCCCTCTGGTCACTGTCAGTTTGTTCTTTATTTCTATGTCTCTGGTTCTATTTTGCTCGCTTAACAAAACAAATACTTTTAATCTTAAGGTGGACAAATTCAATGCAGCTGGCTCATCTATAATTCAAATCAGAATCTTTTTTAGGCACAGAAAGTAGTGATGTGTAAACTTTTTACTTACGTGCTGCTTGAATCTGTGCTTGTTTCCTTTTTTTAATTTCTTGTTTTAAACTGTTTACATCCTTTAGTAGTTTTTCTACTGCTTCCTCACTGTGTTCTACTTTTTTGCATATACTCTGCAAAGTAAAATAATTTAAGTGTATAGATAAAATTCCAAGTTGTGTACTACAGCCGGGTTCGCAAATAAAATACTTCATGGTACATAATAACGAATATTATTTGCTTTTATAAAAACTTTAATTTTGCTAAATTAAAACTTTACTGTTTTCCAGCTATACTAACTTCCCATTTATACAACAGCTTTATCATACCAGTTATTTCCTTGATAATACACATAAATATTTAACTTGGTTTGAAACAAAAAGCACTATACTATTTTGAGAGGTGCATAGCTACTGCGAACATTTCACATTAAAGAGAAGAGACTACATTTTACTGGTATGGAAGAATTTTTATACAGGAATTTAATAATTCCTGTAAAAGAAACTACTTTTGAAAAGTAGACTAGCCTCATGTGTCATCAGTTTGAAGTACTAATACCCTTTGACTCATTTCATTTTGGGATATAAATAAAATATAAATAATATAATAATATAAAATGTTTCTTAGTATAATAATCAAAAGTAATTACTTTCCAATTATAGGGTAAAAAGTTGTTATAGCCAATTTGAGTATATACCTTTAGAGCTGTCTGCTCAGCCTACTTATGAACTTGTTCACCCTGCCATAAGGGTTCACAAATAACCCCTTCAACCAACTTCACCCTAGCTTAACCAAGCAGAGATAATGTATAGCAAATCAGGAAACTCTAATCTCTTGAATAGAAGAGATCTAAATGCAGTTGTGGGTTAGCCATTCTCTGGTCAGCCAGTGGATGAATAAACAAAGATGTGTAGAAAATAGGAAGGAAACCAATGTGCAGACACAGAGGGAGAGAAGGCTGTGAGGATATTCTAGCTCCTCGTTCCAATTCTTCCTGAAACTGAGCTGCTTTCTCCCTACAGTTCCTGTAACATACCTCTCTACATTCCCTATTTTAGCTCAAGCTGTACTTAAGTCATGACACATTTATGTGCCCCCATCACTGTCAACTATATAAAAGCATTCATATATTAGGGAAAAACTGCAGAATATGGCAAAATGGAAATAGTTATGTTACAATGGTGAGAATTCTGAAAGTTTCTCTATTTCCTGTATTATCATTCATATTAGTGTGTAAATAGTACTAATGCCATTTCTCTTAGTGCACTATATTGATGAGTATGGTGCCATGAAATATATTACTCAGATCTCCATCTGGAGGAGGCATAGTTGACTGGCAGCCGCTGCCATACTTTTGGGTCCAGTACTATGTCCATGTTTTCCCTAGGCTGCTCTTAGTCAATGACTGAGTACATTGCGGGTATTATTACAAGTTCATTCCTACAGAACAGTTTTGCTCAAAGATTTCCCATCAGCCTGGCTGAAACTTTTCTTGCCCTGCAGTCTAAAGCTCTTCTTATATCCTTTCCCTCCTTTTTCAGGTACTCCCTCCCCTTTATTCTTAGGCCCAACAGATCTCTGGCTTGTCTAATCCCACCTTTTTGTCTACTCAAAGGACCTCAATGGCCAAAGTAAGAAAGTTAAGTAGCGTGATACTGTTTTGCTCCCAAATATTTGCTTATTATATGTCCCTGTCTATTGTCATGTGATGTCCTCTGACCAATGAAATATGAGTGGAAGTGGCATGCCAGCTCTGAGCAGTTTTAAGAGCTCTTGTGAATTTCCACCAGCTTTCTTGCTCTTTTCCCTTTTTCATGAGAAGAGCATGTCCCACATAAGTCCGGCTCCTTCAGTCTTAGTCATAGTTGATAGGCTTAAGTGATTAATGCACTGGAAAGCTGTTATTCCAGGAACTAGAATTCATGAGCTACGTCACTCCAGGAGGTCGACAAGCAATTCAACCTTTGTACCCCAGATGGTATCTGAGATGGGGTTCCAGGGAGGGAACATCTCTGATGCAGATAAAGAACTGTTGATCAGCAGCTAAAGAAGTACTAGGAAAATTGCTGCTGGACTGCAACTTTCATCAGATTAACATTTTTCCCAACCCCTGACATACCTACCCTTCCCTTCTCAGAAAAAGGTCAGCTTGAGATGAGATGTTAAGATGATTTTTAGGGTACATAACCCTCCATCTTCTCAGATCACTGGCATCTGAACAAAGCACCCATAAAGATTCAATCCTTCTCTCTGCTCATTGGTTCTGGTAGTGACAGGCAACATGAACACCAACTTTTCTGGTTTCAGATTTAAGATGACATTTAGAACAGGAGCAAAGTTGGAGCCAAAACAATGTGAGACATACCTTTGTATTTGTAGGCCACTGAGATTGAGGTCTTTGTGACTGAAGCTAAACTAAACTAAAATATAAACCTAATCAAATATCAGGATAGCCCTAAAAAATTTCAGTGATCAATTTATTATGAACTCTAGAAGTGGTCTTTAAGTGCTGGGTAAGTTAACTTACCTTTAATTCCTCTTGTAAAGAAGCATACATTTCATTTATCTTGTGTACCTCTTTTAAAGATCCATCTTCTTTAAAAAATTCAGGGCTGTAAAAAATTACCAGTTCCTCAGGTAAGTGTACAGGATTCATTAAATGACACGATGAAAAACTTACCTATAGTTGAGCTATGGAAGAATTACAATCATATTTTACTGACTTTTAAGGCATCACTGAATGAAAGAGGAAGTATTATTTTGTAAACCATGAAAAAAAGTGCTAAGATATATGGTTATTAAAACATACCAATTTGAGGTAAATTTAAAACTGTACATCTTAGAATCAATGAAATGTGGCATTTAATTTCTATAAGACACTGTTAAGCACTATGGGAACACAAAGTTTCTCATAAAGCTTATACTCTAGAAGTATCCTATAGTATCAGTGTTATTTCTGAAAATTATTCCCTTAAGATCACAAAAATGTATAACTTTGAAGCCTATAGTATGTGTGAGTCTTGCAAAGGCTTCATTTTTTGTCTTCATTATCTAGTCTAATTTCATTCCTTTAAATATGAACTGCTGCCTTAGAAAATTATTATCCTGAGGCTACCTACTTATTCTTAGAAATAATTTTAAGATATGCAACAACCCCCCCTCTATATATTTTATAAATAGAAGGCAATATGGAAAAAGTAAAAACAGTCTAGTTTGAGTGATGCAGTCATTAGTCAACTTTCCTTTCATTTATATTCTGCTGTTGTGTAACAAAAATTTCAGTAAGGGAAGAGGAGAAAGTTTAGTGGGGAAGCCAGTGAGGAATCTCACCTGTGTGTTTTTACTGCTCGGCTAAAACCAGTGGACATACAGGAACCTGAAACAGTTTTATAACCTAGTTGTTCAGACATGCCCAGGTTGGCCACCACTAAAGGTATCCTATGAAAAAGTCTGAGGAAATAAAATATTAAAATATAAACAGAATAAAGTGAAAGATTAGCATCTACTTAATATAGACCACCTTTCTCCTACAAGATTAAAAAACAAAAAAATCCCATTCCTTACTACTTAGCCAAGATAGAATTTACTGACTTGAGGAAAATGGCTTTTAAAAGTTGTGAAATATATATAGTGTAAAATAACTACATTAAAAAAATACTTTTATGGCTTATCAGTTAAAATTAGCCCAACTACCACGAGGACTCAGGGACCACCATCAATTGCCAGATCAACCTAGAGCTCTATGCTTCCTCCATCTACCTGTCCATGTCTTACTAATTTGACCATGATCATGTGGCTTTAAAGAACTTTGCCAAGTATTTTCTTCACCATTCTCACAAGATGAGGGAATACGCTGAGAAACCGATGAAGCGGCAGAACCAACGAGGTGGCCAAATCTTCCTTCAGAATATCAAGAAACCAGACCATAATGACTGGGAGAATGGCCTGAATGCAATAGAGTGAGCACTGCACTTGAAAACGAATGTGACTCAGCCACTACTGGACTTGCACAAACTGTCTAGGTAGGTCAGTTGTCAAGCACTTTGCTTAGAGATCTCTCTGTGAAAAAAGTGACTGTCTTTTGTGTGACTTCTTTGAGACTCACTACCTGGATGAGCAGGTGAAATACATCAAAGAATTGGGTGACCACATAAATAATTTGTGCAGGTTGGGGGCCCCTGAATCTGGCATGGCATAGGATCTCTTTAACAAGCACACCCTGGGAGACAGTAAAGAGAGCTAAGCAATAGGCTGTCTTCCCACAGCCACTGGAGTGATTTCCCTGGCCACCAAAGCAGTACTTGCATATTGGAGTTAACTTTACATTTTCTACAACTTGTACCAAACCATCCACTTATGTCCTTCTTTTGTACTATTCCTTCAAATAAAGTAATTTGCTACTGCCCCCCCCAAATAAGGCTATATTGTTGCGATTTATCCTATCTTCTATGAATAATGAAATTAACTTTGATATTCTTAATTCTCATATTCCATGAAAATGTTGTTTATATAACCTTTGGAGAGTCCCTGTTAACTCATTTTTGTGTTTCATCAAGAACTACCTTCATCCTTGCTGGTGTGGCTCAGTGAACTGAGCCCTGGCCTGCAAACTAAAAGGCTGCCGGTTCAATTCCTGTACAGAACACATGCCTGGGTTGTGGGCCAGGTCCCCAGTTGGGGGCGTGGGACAGGCACCTGATCAATGTTTCTCTTGCACATGGATGTTTCTCTCCCTCTCTTTTTCCCTCCCTTCCCCACTCCTTTCTCTCTAAAAATAAAAAAAATCTTAAAAGAACTACTTTGCATCCTTGTAAAGGTTATAGAAAAGCTGTTCAAGTACCTAGGTTCAAGTTCTACATTATATCCTTCAACAACCAATATCTAAAGCACAATTTTTTTCCACCTTATGTTAAATAACAGCAAACCCTCAGTGCCAGAAACAAGTCAACATTCCATACTGAGCTCCTAATTTCCTTATCTGACCTTCATTTTCCCATCTATAAAAAACAGATGGTAAGACAGACTTCAGAGCCTTTATATGACAATCTAATGCAACAATGTATGAAAACACTTGGGTAAGCTACAAAAGGTGTTATAAAAATATTGGGTATATTTTTCTCTTAGCTGAGGATAACCAGTGACTGGCCAAACATTTACCCTTTCTGAGGTTTATATAAGGCATGCTCCAGTCGATGAGTAGAGCAGCTTTCTGTTATTATACTTGGTGTTAATAGCAGAAAAACAAGTTCCCCGCTTGAAAGATGCTTCTGTAAGTTTTTGTGAAGTAGTCTCTCTCTAAAAGTCATGATCTGGTCTGAATGGCGTCGGAATTTGTACCAACCCACCACATCCTGAAAGGAAATATAGAAAAAAATATCAGGTGTATACCTTAATGGTTACAATTATTGTGTCTTACTGTCATAATTAAGCAATAAGATTGACAGCTTTAAAAAATGACAATATTTAGCAATATTTTGAGTATATGTAAGCAAAACTTACACTAAAAAATACACTTTACACTTGATATAGTATGCAAACTGTCTTGCAGTGAAATTACTTTCCATTCAATTTCAGGACTAAATTTTATTCTCTATTTCTTTTAATTATTATTTTTTAATTAATTGACTTTTTAGGAGGGGGAGGGGAAGAGAGACAGAGACAGAGGAAGAGAGAGAGAGAAACATTGACTTGTTGTTCTACTTTTTTATGCATTCATTGGTTGCTTCTTTTATGTGCCCTTGACTGGGCATCAAACCCACCACCTTGGTGTATCAAATGATGCTCCAACCAACTGACCTACCTAGCCAGGGCCAATTTTATTCACAGAGATTAATTTCTTTTATGGCATTTGCTATCTTAAAATCTTCATCGTTAGTCAAAGTTTAAATTAAGACAATGTCAATGAAAACAAGTTAATTTCTTATATGGATACTTGGCTTGCTAAGTAAGCTGAACCCAACAGCTTTTAAAACTGAAATTTATATGGGAATGATATCATCTATCCCACAAAGCTGGGATTTTGTAAACTCTACCATGCTAAAGAAATGTGTCTTTAGTATTATTAAAACTTTATTTTTAAAAACTAAAAAAATAAATTTCATTTACTGAAAACTTAGTAATTATAAAAAAAAGAAAAACAAGCACTTTGCTTAGAGATCTCTCTGTGACAGTTCCAGCAACTAAATTATATATTTGCTCTTTTAAATTGAGGACATTAAAATTACTTTTAAAAAAGCTAATATTTTTACAAATACATTTTTTAAAATTTTATTTTTAGATATAGAAGAAGGTTGAAAGAGGAGAGAAACATCGATGTATGTGAGAAATTGATCATTTGCCTCTTGCACGCCCCCAAGTGGGGACCTGGCCTGCAAGCAAAGCCATGTGCCCTGACCAGGAATCAAACTGGCAACCTTTTTGGTTTGCAGCCCAGTACTCGAAGTCCACTGAGCCACACCAGCCAGGGCTACAGGTATCTTTTTAAATACCACCCAAATATAATTAGGGGAAAGCCCAAGCATTTTCACCACAGGATATTTTTTGAAAGGAACTACTTCTACTGAATTTACTTTTATTTTGAACTCAGGGATCAAAAAATTTTAAGAGAAAAATAGGACCCAGAAATAATTTCATATTTAGAAAAAAAAATCTCTTTTGATCATTCATCAAGTTTTAACTGAATACCAAATATGCTATGGAGGCTTCAAATTAGGTGTTACACAGAAAATTGTCCCTAAAATATAAAAACTAGTAATTGCAGCTACACAAAAAACAGTAATGGATTAAGTCCTAGAATAAATGGTACTGGGAAGGGGGTATGGTGGGACAGTAGAAGAGGAAGAGATCAATATTTATTAGGATAGTCAAGGGAAGGATAACAACAAGATTGATACTTTTTATGACTAGTTTTGATTTCAGATTAGCCTCTTTTAATTTCTAGAAAAAACAAGGCTTACCTGTGTTATAGAATATTGTGAAGAAACATGCTGCTTAAAAGTTCTGTCAATGTATTACATGTTTTTAGGAACTGAAAATTTTACTTACGATAAAAAAGGCAAGGTTAATCAGGGAATACCTTTTTAACATTTGACAGTATTCTCTTCAGTGCTTGCTCATTTAATTCACCAGAAGAATTATAAAAGCTGTAAAAGCGAAAATTAAAGGCATTTCAAATGAGCTAAAAACGTGAATGATTTTGTTAGCACCTTTAATTTTAGCTATTCCTAACCTAACTACCCAACCAAAATCCATCCCCGGCCTGTCAGATGACGTTCTAAATAAATATTAGAGAAAGTTCTCAAACTAACAGACTTAAAGTGATAGAATATGAGGTCCATAAGCAATGGAACAGGAAAAGGAGTGGAGTAACTTCAAGAGGTAAGTTTGCACACCACATTTTTTAAAAAACAAAACAAATCATTAATACGAGTATCTATAAGTTCATATAACCAGTTCAAAATTCATTCATAATTTACTTATTAAAACTTTAAAAACTATACTGATACATGTGAAAATGTGTAAAATGTTTAATGAGGCACAATAACAAAAAGACTATTTATTGCTAATTCCAAAAGCAATTCTTGCATTAAATTAAGAGAAGCGTTTCAGCAGTTGTTTGGTATTGTGGTTTTTTTGGCAGGGGGTGGAGGCGGTAAGGGGAGAAAGGTACTGATTTAGTTTAGTGGTCTTTGCTCTGTAGTTGGAACGTCAAAGATGTAGGGAGAATTAAAAAATAATTCTAAAAGATTCTAAAGCATTTACTTTCAGCCTTCTATCGCTTCCAATAATAACGGAATGCAAGTAGTATTTTCCTCCTATTAACATTCACCAAGATAAACAATATTCTTTTCTATGATGGTGCAATAACTGTTATGCAAAATCCTATACAAATAATAGTCATTGTAACAGGCTTTTAATGGTATTTCTAACCTGTACAGTAAAAAAGTTAGCCCTCGCTGGTGTGGCTCAGTGGACTGAGTGCTGACCTGTGAACCAAGTGGTCGCTGGTTTGAGTCCCAGTCAGGGCACATGCCTGGGTTGTGGGCCAGGTCCCCAGTAGAAGGATGCATGAGAGGCGATCACACATTGAAGTTTCTTTCCCTCTTTCTCCCTCCCTTCCCCTTTCTCTAAAAATAAATAAATAAAATCTTAAATAAGAAAAAAAATACCCCCAAAAACCTTGTTATATAGAACTGAAGATACAGGGTCCGGCAGAAGTAACGCCTGCTTGAGTGTGATTGTAAGGTAACAATAGGGGTGTAATAATTTATAGTTTTAATTTGAATATTTCACCTAAAATATCATATGATATGCTTGAGTGTGATATTGTTATGTTATAGAATTACATGTTTATGATTTTGTAATAAAAATTTTTGTAATAACAAAGGGATGTTATTTGTGCTGTACCCTGTATATCCTTACAGGCAATATGTGTTTTTCTCTTTTTTAAATACTCATCCGATGATATGTTTATTGATTTTGAAAGAGAGAGAGACATCAACATGAGACAGAAACATCAATCAGGTTGCCTTCTTTTGGTGTATAAGACAACACTCAAACCCACTAAGCTAGCCAGCCAGGGCTATATTTTTTCTTTTTAACTTACAAAAGCTTACTTAAAATTTTTTAATGGGAAAAGAGACAAATAAAGTGTTCCACCTATCAAAAGGAACTATTCAGTTAATCAAACAGATCCTCCTATTTTACTATTTATTATTCCAAAATGAAATTTCTAAATACAAGAGTTTATTCCTGTATTTCTCTAGGATGGTCCCCTTCTGAGCGTCTCTAAGTGGGACATATTGCAATACACCCCAGTATACAAGAAAAAGTAGGATAACAGTGTACATCTTATCTATGCTAGCACTGATTTTATGTGACATTTTTGGGAAGAGGGGCATTTTAAAATAGAAATAGGTATACAGGGTTGGGCAAAAGTAGGTTTACAGTTGTTAATAGGGAAAATAATACTAATTAATAAAAAATAGTACAAGAATAAACTTTTGTATACTCAAAACTGTAAATCTACTTTTGCTCCATCATGTATTGTGCAGAATTCATGTTAAATTGCATGTTTTTTCTTTTTCCTTTTAAGTGACTAAATTTTAGGCTTTAATAGCCTGTTTTCCAAGAACTTCTCCCAGATTCCTCAGGTGAACCAGTATATTTCAATGGAAAATTGTGAGAAGCAATGTATAGAGCAGGGTTGGCAAACTTTCTGCTAATGGCCAGAGTATAAATATGTTAGCTTTTGCTGGACACACAATCTCTGTTGCATATTCCTGGTTTTTTTTGTTGTTGTTTGCTTTAACAACCATTAATATGTTGACTATTCATAGATAGAGTGCCATATAAAGAACAGGCCATGGGGCCATAACTTTGTTGCCCAGATGTGACAGAACATATAACTGGATGCTAAAGCTTATCCAACTTGGAGTCTAAGAAGTATGGTATCAGAAGACTGTTTTTTACATGTTCACTTATATAATTTAAAACAAGGAAAAAACAGTGTGGTACAATATTGGATTAGAACTCAAGAAATCCTGATTCTTCTAGTTTTTGCTCTACTATTAACCAGTTCTTTGGCACTGGTTACATCACAAGCTTTTTAGACTTATTATTTTGTTGTTAAGGGAAAATAAGATGTATGATAAACTTTTTTGAATGAGAGCCATTTCAGGTGGTTCTCCTTATGCCTTTCAGGCATGTTTCTCATCAATGGATCGGATAGTTTTCTCAGCTCCAGAACTCCATTAAGTTGGTCTAATTATGGTAGTTACTAGGAGATATGAATCACTTTTAACTTTTTCTTCTTAATTTGTTTGTTGTTTTTTTTTTAATCCTCATCTGAGGACCTTTTTCTTTCATTGCTTTTAGAGAGAGTGGAAGGGGGGAGGAAGAGGGAGGGAGAGAGGCAGGGCAAGAGAGAAAGAAAGAAACATCAATGTGAGACAGAAACATCGATTGGCTGCCTTCTGTACGCAGCCTGACTGGGGACTGAACCCACAACCTAGGTATGTGACCTGACCGAGAATTGAACCCACAACCTTTGGGGATTTACTGGTTTTTAATGTGTCTCCACCAAGAATACCTTAGTCATTCCAGAAATATTTTTGTGTGTCACTGTACATAAGGCACTATAGGAGCTGTATCTCTTTTTGGTACAGCAGTTTAAGACTATACTAAGCCTTTAATTCCATCATCCCCTACCATAAATTATTCTCACCTTAAACATGTTCCACTGCAACTCTCATACAACCTTACTGATGAGTACATACAGTGTGACTATAAGATAATCCTTATTTTTCATGTATGGCTTATATAAATCATAAAGCTATTTTGTTAAAGCTATACCAGGTTGTGGTTATAGGTATGTGCTTTATGAAAATTCATTTGTGTATTTTTCTATATTTATGCAACATACCTCAATAAAAAGTTTTTAAAAATATCACAGCCTATATTAGGAGCTAATAGTACTACTACTATCTGTAGGACTAAGAGGACAAGTTTTCATCCTAGAAAAGCAATAGGAAGCAGGTTAAAGAAATTAACTGCTTAACAGACAAAAGATCACATTAAAAAATGTAAGTGAGGAAACAGATGATAAACTGGAATAAAAAGGTAGGAAAAAAGGCCTGCTTTTTTGTTAATGTATGGAATGTGTCACTAAGTTTATAATATGCAATGAGGTGAGTGCGTGTGAGGAGGAAAAGCAATTCTCAAGGTAAACTGGTACTGGGAGAGGCAATGAAGACCAGTTAAAGCAAACACGTTAAGTATAGAGAATGGCCCAGGCTGGTGTAGCTTGGTGGACTGAGTGCCAGCCTGTGAACCAAAAGGTTGCTAGTTTGATTCACAGTCTGGGCACATGCCTGGGTTGCAGGCCAGGTCCCCAGCTGAGGGCATGTGAGAGGCAACCACACATTGAATTTTCTCTCCCTTCTTTCCCCCCTCTCTAAAAATAAATAAAGTCTTTAAAAAATAAAAATTATTAAATAAAATTTTTCAAAAAATACAGAGAATGAACTAATCTACAGGGTTGAAATGAACAAGTGACTATTCATGTATTTTTTAAAAATATTTTCATTTTAATCAGTACCACCATGTACAACAATGATACTTTGTTAGTTTTAAAAATAACTTCACTTGCAGAGAGTAATTTTCACAGTGCATTATTTACTTGCTCTTACTACTCACCTAAAAAGCTGATAACATGGAATATATTTCTGAATGTCTGGAAAAAAGAATTTTTAGTTACGATTTATTTATGATTACATTAATTGTCACTTGAATAACATGTTGAATACCTTATGCCAAGAAGCACTTTTTACCATTATCTCATTTAAACCTCACAAGGAACCTATGAGACAGGTGTAATCATTCCTTTCATTTTAAAGATGAGATAAGAGGCAGAGAGCTTAAATGGCTCTCCCAAACTAGTGGTAGGGCCAATATTCAAAGAGCCTCACTCCTAACTAGAGTGGTTTATTCCTTCTAAATGATATTAGTAACAACACAAAAGATAATTTCAAAGCTGCTATATTTTCATTTGAATTCTAAAAAGGGTTATGCTCTAATTTTACCCTATTGATAAAAACAGCTGTTAATGGGATTGCTTTTTGTTATTCCAAGTAGTTGTTTCACAAAGGGCTTGTTAATGTTAACTACAAACTATCAAGAAAAAAAACCCCAAAATCTTTTTTCTTAAAAATTGATTTGAGAGAGAGAAACACTGATTTGTTGTCCCACCCATTCATGCATTCATTGGTTGATTCTTAAATTATTTTTTTTAATTTATTGATTTGAGAGAGAGAGAGAGAGAGATGAAGGGACAGAGGGAGGGACAGAGTGAGAGGGAGTAAAACACTGATTTGTTGCTATACTCATTTATGCATTGATTGTTTGATTTCTCATATGTACCGTGACCAGGGATTGAACCCATCACCTTGGCATATTGGGACAATGCTCTAATTAGCTGAACTACCTGGCCAGGGCCTCAATGGTTCTTTCTTACCTGTGCCCTGACCCAGGATCTAACAAACCTTGGTGTACTGGGCCAATGCTTTAACAAACTGAACTACCTTGCCAGAGCCAAAACATCTTATTAAGAGGTGAGTTTTATTCTCACCAATAAAAATAAATCTAAATAGGAAAAGTGATCATCCTCGTTAGACATTTTTCTTCTAGCAAATGTATGCTACCCCTAGATAAATCCCTCTACCCGAAAAAACACTGAACAGAAACAATCGTTGTAACTGTTAATAGTCAAACATTCTCTGGTACAGATAAGAGAACATAATAAAATGACAATCTCATTAACCAAAGCAATGTAGTAATTTGTGTATCTTGGATTTTATCTGTTACCATGTGTCTTAAAGTAACTTAACATTTTGCACTGGCTGGTGTGGCACAATTGACTGGGGGTCATCCCACAAACCAAAACGTTGCCAGTTTGATTCCTGGTCAGAGAACATGCTTGCGTTGCAGGGTCGGTCCCCAGTGGGGGCATGTAGAAGGAAATCAATTGATATTTCTCTCTCTTGCATCGATATTTCTGCTTCCCTACCTCTTTTTCTCACTCCCTTCCCTGCTCTCTAAAAATAAATTAAAATCATTTTTTTTAAAGTAACCTAACATTTTAAAATAATCTGAACAAATATTTAAGTGTTTCTATAGCACTTGCCTGACGCATTAAAGCTAAGCACTGTTCCTTGAACAGTTAAGTTGCTCAATAAATGATTGCTTAGTTAGACTCCTCAAAATATGTTAGATAATCTGAATAGCATGCCAATCAAAAGAAAAAGGCCTGCCAAAAGGTCAAATACATAAGCTCTTAATCTCATTTGTAATTAAGAAATACAAATTAAAACAATTATTTTTTTTCACTTATCAAACTGGCAAAGATTAAAAGACTTGATAATAATTAATGGTGGCAAAATTATGGGGACCCAGGCACTTTTACATATTGTGGAGAAGTCTAAGATGGCATTACTTTTCCAAATGGCAATGGTCTACTAGACTTTGAGATATATTCAAGGGCACAAAATATATGCACAATAAAATGTCCACTATTTTACTGCTTTGTATTAACGAAAAAGTAGAGTGTCATTCACAACTATTTAAATAAGTTATGGTACATCCATACAATGGGATTCAGAAGCCATTAGAAAGAATGGCAGACTATACACACTGATACTGTAATGCACTAATGACATCTTGGAGATTTTTATCATTTACACAATCCCATTTGTGTAAATAAAAATAATACACACACGTGTGTTACGTGTATTGTTAATGAGTAAAAATAATACTCATGAAACCAACAGTAGCTGCCACAGAAGAGACTAGTAAGAGTTTAAATTTACTTTATACATTTCCTTTACACATATACACCACATTTATATACATTAGTTTACATATATGTACTTCCATTTTTAACCTTTTAAAGTGACAAACAAAATAACATGAATAGTTTTAATATAAACTGACATCTTTCTTTCTAGAGAGCAATTTGTGAGTACAGGTCAAGAACCTTAAAAATGTGCATACCCTTTGACATTATAATCACATTCCCAGGAAAATATCTATAATAGACATGTACAAAGATGTTCCGGGTAGTATAATTTATGATACTAAAAAATTGGAAATAACTTTGATTATTTATTTAAAGGACTGCTGAAATTACATAGTGCCATAAGAGTAAAGCCATAGAGAATACAATGCAGTTATAAAAAAATAATATTTAGGACTTCCAGCCAAGATGGAGATGTAGGTAGGTATACTTTGCCTCCTCCCACAACCAAAAGGGCAACAACCAATTAAAAACAAAAGACAACCAAAACTGCCAGAAAATAGAACTGTATGAAATTCCAACAACCAAGGATTTAAAGAAGAAACATTCATCCAGACTGGTAGGAGGAGTGGAGAGGACAAGCAGCAGAGCAGAGGACGGGGCAGGTGAGGGAGCAGCTGGAGGATGGGGCCGTCTGACATTTGAGAGTGGGATAAGCCAGGAGGAACAACTGGGGAGCAAGAGAGACTGCCCACCCCAGGGTTCCAGCATAGGGAAATAAAGCCTCAAAATCTCTGACTGTAAAAACCTGTGGGGGTTGCCCCAGCGGGAGAAACTCCCAGCCTCACAAGAGAATCCACTGGAGGGGCCCATGGGATCCCAGAATGTACGCAAACAAACCCACCTGAGAATCATACCAGCAGGACCCAGTTTGCTTGGGTAGCGGAAGAAGTGACTGAAAGCAGACAAGAGCCAAGCAAGTGGCATGGTCCCCTTTTGACTCCTCCTCCACAGAGAGAACCACAATGCAGAGAAGTTATTGCCCTGCACTGGCAAATACCTAAGGCTCTACCCCTTAAACAAAACAGATGCAACGAGACAAAATATGACTGAAATGAAGGAACACATCAAGACTAGAAAAAGAACTAAGCAATGAGGAGACAGCCAACCTATCAGATGCAGAGTTCAAATCACTGGTAATCAGGATGCTCACAGAAAAGACTAAGCATGGATGCAAAATAGAGGAAGGAGTGAAGGCAAAGTGAAATAAAGAAAAATATAAGGGAATCAACAGTGAAAGGAAAGAAACTGGGACTCAAATCAACAATTTGGAACAAAAGGAAGAAATAAACATTTAACCAGAACAGAATGAAGAAACAAGAATGTAAAAAAATGACAAGAGGCTTAGGAACCTCTGGGATGACTTTAAACATTCTAACATCCAAATCACAGGGATGCCAGAAGGAGAAGAGGAAGAGCAAGAAACTGAAAACTTATTTGAACAAATAATGAAGGAAAACTTTCTCAATCTGGCAAAGGAAATAGACTTCCAGGAAGTTCAGAGTCCCAAAGAAATCGGACCTGAGGAGGAATACACCAAGACACATCATAATTACATTGCCCAAGATTAAAGTTAAGGAATCTTAAAAGCAGCAAAAGAAAAGGAGACAGTTACCTACAAAGTCCCAGTAAGACTATCAGCTGATTTCTCAAAAGAAATCTTGCAGGCAAGAAGGGGCTGGAAGGAAGTATCCAAAGTCATGAAAGGTGAGGACCTACAGCCAAGGTTACTCTATCCAGCAAAGCTGTCACTTAGAATGGAAGGGCAGAGAAAGTGCTTCCCAGATAATGTCAAGTTAAAGGAGTTCATCATCAACCCTTATTATATAAAATGTTGAAGGGACTTATCTAATAAAAGAAGATCAAAACTATGAACAGCAAAATGACAACAAACTCACAACTATCAACAGTTGAACTTGAAACAAATACAAACTGAGCAAACAACTAGAACAGGAACAGAATCACAGAAATGGAGACCACAAGGACGGTTATCAGCAGGGAGGTGAAAGGGGGAGAATGGGGGAAAAGATACAGGGAATAAGCAGCATAAATAGTAGATACAAAAGAGACAGGAGGAGGTTAAGAATAGTATAGGAAATGATGCCAAAGAACTTATATGCACAACCCATGGACATGAACCAAGGGGTGGGGGAATGCTGGTGGGAGTGGGGTTCAGGACAGAGAGGATAAAGAGAAGAAAAAAAAGGGACCACTGTAATAGCATAATCAATAAAACGTACTTAAAACATAAAAAATTTTTTGAAAAAAATGGTATTTTGAGAAGAGTTTAACATGGGAAAATGGTCATGACACAGTATAATGTCATGATGCCGAATTTCTAATAAACTACACCAGTTTTGATTTACAAAATGTTTTAAAAAACTGTATATGTTAATCAGCCCTGGCCATGTGGCTCAGTTTGTTGGAGCACTGTCCTGTACATCAGGAGGTTGAGGGTTTGATTCCTTGTCAGGGCACAGACCGAGGTCGTAGGTTGGACACCTGGTCAGGGCATGTATGGGAGGCAACCAATCTGTTTCTCTCTCATATCGATGTTTCTGTTTCCCTTTCTTTCTCCCCTTTCCTCTCTCTCTCTAAAAGAAACAAACAAGCAAACAAAAAAACCCCAGAAATTTATCTCTGGTGAGGATCAAAAGAAAAAACTGTGTATGTTAATGGGAAAACTCCTACATATTTTAAAGCTCTTTTTCCCCTGAAAAAAAACAGCTGCTACCAATGACAGCTGCTTCACCACTTATTCCTCAAACTCTTGCAGTTTGTTTTTTTTTCCCCCATTACACTCCAGAAATTACATAAGGTTTTTATATCTGTAGTGACTAAGTTTTTTCAGTTCTCATCTGCCAACTTTTCTGTAGTATTTAACATTTTTGTCCAAGCTTTTACCTTTTTTATTCATTTTGAATATTGGTTCCTATTCCTTTTTGCTTGGCCATGTTCCTGCCACTTGAATATATGCAGGAGCTATTTCATCCCTGCTTCCCCACAATAATCTTAGCTGCTTATGTCCCCTATTATTTCCCGCTTTAGACTAGGCCATTGCCATAATTTTAATTGAGAAATGAGGGCAATACATTCTTTTAAAATATACTTTTCAAATTTTGTATCTTTTTTCTTATCAATTTAAAAGTAATTTACGCTGATCTCTTTCAGCATACACCATCAAAAATAGGAGACACAGAAATAAGTGACTCACCTATTGTATAAATAACTTCAACATCATCCATTTGGGAATCAGTAATGCTATTCTTGGCTTCCCCTTTCACTTCCCCAAGGAGAAAACCTTCCTATGGATAAAAATAAGCATTAAATATATGGAACATACTGATAGAATTACCATTCAGTCACTTAACTAACCAATATCTTAAGTACTGGTATTTAACAATGTATACATTATTTGCTTCCAGCTTGGGGGCACAGAAAATACCAGGTGCACTTCCAGTTTAGCAGGGAAGTGTGTACAGTCAGATAAAAATGAGAAGAGACTGTAAACTACTGTGACTTCAGCACATTTGGAAGCATGAAAGCCTTAACTCCAGAAACGAGGACACAATACCTGAGGATCTAAGAGCAGAGCAGTTTGCCTTGGACCTGAAGGCTCCCACTTGTAAGGAAATCATAGATAGGAATAACTCCAATAATGGAACATCCCAAATGATTAGCCAAGAACTCTGAATTAATGGCATAGACTTCTGGGAACCAGTGGAGGCTTCTGAGCTATGAAAGACTCAACGATCAATGCTTCTAGATTAAAAATCATGCAAGATATTAAAGATTTGAAATTCACCACCAGAGTCTGCTTTCTAAAAGGGGAGCTGAGAGCCCTGATTCTTTAAAAGATACACACATTTTTCCCACAACAGTGGTGATTTCTTTTGAGTTTTGGAAATTCTGTTATTTCTCTTGGCATATTTAAAGACCCGTTGTGTTTGACAGACAAGAAAGATTTTGTCTTCTTTATAATTAAGAATGCCTCCCACCTCATTTCACTAAAGAAGAGCACAAAAGGGATGGTTCCACAAGGTGAGTGTTTACTAGACAAAAAGGGGAACAATCCAGAACTCTGCACTCTAGACAAATCCTGGGAAAGGACGCAGGAACAGTGCAAGTATAACTATCTAGAAAATCACCTTTCAAGACTATAGGAAAAAGATCTGAGAGACAAAGGCCTAACATTATGGTACTTTCCAGGGTCTAAGTTTTATGCTACAGGACCCATTCTGTTTGTTTACAATAAGGCTTCCCAAAATAATTTCTACAGCTACATACATTTAAAATTGTCATGTATTTGCTCTTTTCTAGGTGTAATCTACAAGGTTATTTAAGAAATTACTAGAGTTTGTTCAGTATGGTATTAGCAAGTTATTAAACACTCTAAGGTACTACTTCTTGGGCTCAAAGTTTTACACTGTTTAATTTCATAAAAATACATGTTTTTAAAAGTAGGCACTGTATTTAAAAAATTACTTCACTGCTTTATCCAGAGAATTTGAACCTAGACAATTAGTATAAAATAAGCATTTAAATATCTAATATTTGAGCATAAATGTTTAAATCATAAGCATCAGAAAAGGAACTCGCTGAAGACTTACAATTTAATAAACTTAATACTAATGCAAAAGTCAGAAATCCGATACCAAACTAAGCTTTTTCATCCACTAAGATTTTCCCCCAGTCACTGGATGTAATCTCTTATTCCTTTAACCGCCCTACCACTTCAACAAACTGCACAGTAGCTGCTCTGCATAAAAAAAAAAAAAAAATTCAGTTGTCTTTGGAAGTACTGACGGTAGTTAGAAGAAACGGAAAGCGAACCGTCAACCTTCTGGCCGTAGCGGGCTAATGCTGTGAATTTTCTAGCCTTTCACAACCAAGGTGAAAAAGAAAAGGGGGCTGTTGAAAGAAATGGGAGCGCGTGTGGGTCACTGGAATAGGAGCACGGAGACAAACACTGCTCAGAAGAGGGCAGGCTAAGGGGGTGAAGGGAGGCGGAAGAGGGTATAGCGGGGTATAAATGGTGATGGAAGTAGACATGGCTTGGGGTGGTGAACATACAATACAATGTACAGATGATCTACATAATTTTATTAACTGTCACCCCAATAAATTCAATTGAAAATAATTTTTTTTAAAAGGAGACTAATCCTGGAAAAGACCTAGCGGGCAGGAGGCACATCTTACGCCTCCCGGGAGCGGAGAAGGCAGAGTAGGGAGGGCTGAGGTCAGCGCTGCGGCGGCCGCCAGGGAGCTCGCGGGCGGTTGAAGGCGCCGGCAGGGCACCTCTCCGAGGAGACACTGGATCCCGCCCCGCCCCTCAGCTCACCGAGTCCGAGTCCGTATTGAGGTGCTGGAAGGACAGCGCGCCCAGCACGAAGCCCGAGAGCACCGCTGACGTACTCTCACCCTCCATGCTTACGCGACAGCGGGGGTTGCACGAGGCCAGGGCGGAGCTCGCCAGGCCCGGAACCTTTTCTGTGAAGTGGCTGGGCGGCAAAGCGACCCTGGCGGGGAGGCGGGGCGGCGGGGCGGCGGCGAGGCGGGGCCGGGCGAGGGGGCGGGCACGCACAGACGCGTAGACGCGGTGCTCTCCACTGTGGCGGCTGGTGTGGGGAGTCGCCGGCGGACTCTGCTGGGGAGGGTGCTGGGAGCCTGCTGTTGAAGGCGGGACTTGGCGCTCACTTCTGGCCACGATTCGCACTCGGGGTCCTAACCTGGCTTCTCTGATGCCTTAGCCCTAAAGGCTGCTTGGTGTTAGGCTTTTGGGAGAGCAAAGTTTGAGTAAGAGGATGGTGTCCCGCTGCTCCCGAGGGACCCATGGCATAATGGAAGCATGGTTTAGTGACATTGTGATATCACAATGGATGTGCCGCGTTTATGGTTTTCAAACTGCATGTTGCTGCCTTATACCCAGCGGAAGTAGTGGAATACTAATTCGAGTGTCAGGGATTGTCTCTTCTAGAACTCTCCAACGATGTTCGTTCCGTCGGGGTGGGTGGGAGCGGAAGAGAAGTTGGGTTTTTCTGAGTGCTTGCTTTTAGAAAATTAAGGACTCAGGTTAATTTAAGGAATACAAAGATTTTTAAACATTGTCCTGACAGCTTAATGACAGGTATTAACCATACATTGTTGGAGCACTTGATATAAATTTTAAGGGGAGTGGGAAGACCAGGGCTTGGCAATTTACGCACACAGGATATGCAAAGATACGATTTTTAAATGTTTGAAAGTGAGCAAAATATCAGAGTACAGATGCCCCTTCACTTACCATGGGGTTGCATCCAGATAAAACCATTGTAAATTGAAAACATCTTAAGGTGAAAATGCAATTAATACACCTAACTTTAGCAACATCATAGCTTAGCCTAGCTCATCAGATGTGATTTTCAAAAGGTTCTAATACAGCACTATGAAAGCTTGGGTGGGCCAAACGGACGCCCTAATTAGTCCCTTAACATTAAAATGCCCCAAACAAGTCTTGCTCTATTCCCCTAATTTGGAGGAATTTTTAAAACTAGAAAATAATGAATACAGTGACAAACCCGACCTGGAATCATCTACCAGGGGTGTCCAACCTGAAGCCCACTGGCCGCATGTGGCCCAGGATGGCTGTGAATGAGGCCCAACACAAAATTATAACTTTACTTAAAAGAAGAGAGTTTTTTGTTCTGTTTTGTTTTTTTTGTAATTACTCATCATTATGTATTTAATGTGTGGCCCAGAGATGCCAAAAGGTTGGACACCCCTTATAGGCCAATTATCAGTCAAATTAAGATACAGACTAACAAAAGTGTCAGGGCTCTGTGGCTGTGGACTGAGAACCTAACGCACAGTAGCGGGTAAAATGGTCAGGGGATGAAAAAGAAATTTCTGAGATTCCTTGACACTGGAGCTTCATGTGTGGTGGTACCAGCACTGCCTGGTGAAGTCCTAATATGGGCTACAATTAGTAAGAGTGAATACAGAAATGTGTAAGATTATTGATGATAATAATCTTACTATTGACAATAGGGTTAAGATAAAAGTTTGAATGAAAAATGTAATGTTTAAACAGGCTTTATGTGAAGAGGCTGTCTCTCCTTTATCTGAATGCTTTATGGGAATAGATATTATATCTGACTGGGGAGCACTTCCCCTACCTAGTAACATAAAACTGAGAACTAGCAAGCCTTTTATAAAATTTATATCATCCAATTGTCCTATAGTAAAGTTGCTCTAATTTACACTTCCATAGGATATGAGTGCCTTGAAAAAATTAAATGTCATAAAATGCGATCTCTGCCAATTTTATGGGTCACAGATTTTCTCTTAGATAATTTCAGTTGATGTGATTGGTACTCCTTTGCTTGCTCATGAAACTGAGACATGTTTTTTGGTCATTCGTATTCTCTTCTGAAATATATATATATATATATATTTCCCTTTTTTTATTGCTCTTTATATCTTATTGATTTAACAGTCTCTATGTATGGAAGCTATTAACCCTTTGTCTGTCAAATACTGTAAGTGGTTTTTGCCTAGATGCTTTTAACTTTAATTGTGTTTAAGGTAATTTTTAAAATCTTCACCAGAGGATATGTATTTATTGATTTTTAGATAGAGGATAGATAGATAGATAGACAGACAGACAGACAGATAGAAGGAGTGAACCATTGATGTGATAGAGAAACATCAATTAGTTGCCTCCTGTACATGCCCCGACAGGGATCATACCTGGAACCTTCTGCTGTATGGAACGATGCTCCTACTAACTGAGCCACCTGGCCAGGGTTAAGGTAATTATTTTTAATATGAAACTTTAAAACTTTGTGTTTGAACTTTTATTCATGCCCTTAATCTTTCTGTCTAAGGTATCATATTTAGGAAGACTTCCCTGTCTTATGACATTATTCTTGAAAGGGAGACAATTAAGTCCACTAATTAAGACCAGTGGCATTGGCTGAATGGAATCATAACAGACAGAGATCCATTGCCGAAAGCTTGAACATTGGGCCCATACAAACAATAGAATTGTTTTAAGAAGACTTTTTAAAAATTATTATTTGTTCCTTTCTTCATAAAAAGGAACTAGAGCTCCTTGGAAAGAAGAATGATTTCAAGGCAGAGAAAATACAAGATGAGCCGGGAACATTTTTTTGGTGCCAGAAAGTAAAGATGGGTTCAAAGAATGGTGTAAACATGTCAACCTTACATAGGAGTTAAGCTGATACTGACCAAATCTGAGGCAATCTAAGTATCAAAATAAATAACAATAGTGATGGATTATGTCCCATTGAATAAAATAGGAATCTTTGTTTCCACACTGATGTGAATGAATGAGCAAATGTGATAAAAGAAAGCATTTCCTTACAGTAGAATACCAACTAATAAATGTAGAATAAATCTTAAAATTAGAAAATCTTTTTTGGTAACTATCATCATCACAATAATTGATACAGGCAACAGATACTAAAATGAGCAGGCAAAGTTCAAGTAACAGGCTATTTATGTAGTCTCCAAGGATCTCCCCAAGGTATCTATGAATGACAGGAGGAAAAATAACTTTTTAAATGCCTCCTTAACCAAATAATGAAGGTTAACATCACCAGTAAGGAGACAAATGCACATCAGATGCCTCCTCATGTGGTGTTCTGGGAAGACCACAGCATCAATCATGCAATATTCTCGCTAAAAGTACAGAAGTTGAAATTTCTCATGAGGAAACATCAGACAAACTAAAATTGAAGGACATTTTATAAAATAACTGACCTGTATTATTCATAAATGACAATGGCATAAAACAAAAAGACTAAGGAACTGTTCGAGATGAAAGGATACTAAAGAAACAGGACATCTGAATGCTGCAAGGGATAACTGACAGTGACAGGGATGAATTGGTTCAAATCATGCTTATGTATTGGTGAAAACAATTTTACCTGTTTCTACTTTGCCTTATCTATAATTAGCATAGGATAACTCAGAGACACCTGAAAAATAGAGCAACTCTAGAATCTTCACCTCAAGAGCTATTTTTAAAGAATTACAAATAGATTTCCTTCAGTTACCCAAATTTCAAAGCTTTGAATATATTTTAATAAGTTTGTAAATTTCCTGGTTAGATTGAAACTTCCTCGTCATGCTCTCAGTTTTACTTAAGAAAAGGTATGGATTTTACTTTCCCAACCTGGGGAACTCTTTTAATATATTCTATCTTTAAAAAATGCCTAGAATAGTGTCTAGATCAATGTTGACTTTCAGTATTTGTGGAACGGATACATTTTGGAGGGCAGGAATACTTTCCTTGAATTCATGAATTCACAACTATTGAATCAGGTACCATGATAGTTAACAAAGCAAATAATTTATAATCTAGTTGGAGAAAGAAACGTCAGAGACATACTCTCTTATATGATGACATAATCACAACTCTGATAAATGCTTTGAAGGAAAAAAAAAGAGGCAAGAAAAAGTAAGGTACTTACTCCCCCTAGTGTTGGAATCGGGGAAGGTCTTCCCAAGAACCTAAATGTCCAAGGAAAAGAGGAGTAAACAAAGAATGCCCAGCGGAAGAAACGTTGCCTGTGGAAGCTCTGACCAAAACTTGGAGAAAGGGTTACCTGAGCTGAGAGAGAAAACTAAAATGTATTTTGGATTCTTATTTTGAGTTAACTGTGAAGTGGTTCTTTATTCTGGGAAATTACCTGAACAGACCCTTTAATTATAAAAATGTGAAGCAAGTTACTTTTTGTTCTTAGGAGAAACCTGAAAGAAAAATAAGAATGTAAATGTTGCTCTTACTGTTGTGGCTCAGTGGGTTGGGCGTTGTCCTGCAAACCAGTTCTCAGGTTCAATTCCCAGTCAGGGCACATGGGGTGTTGAGTGCCAGGTCCCCGGTTGGTGGCTTGAGAAGCAACTGATTGATGTTCCACTCCCTCTCTTTCTTCCTCCCTTCCCCTCTCTCTAAAAATAAATAAATAAACAAAATATTTTTAAAAAAGAATGTAGATGCTTTAGACACAAATCTTAGTGCTATGTTTGGGTTCTGAATAGTTGTATATAGTTAAGTCATTACTGCACACTGAGATTCCTTTGCTTCTATGGTGGGAAATGTTTCTTGCCTTTATTTATACCTGGAGTTTATAGCAAAGGAGGCTTATCCTTGGGGAAGTGGGTGTGGGCTTATTCAAGAATTACTTATAGGTGATTCAGAGTTTTTTGCCCTGGAGCCAATGACCCAAGTCTTCGTCTTCTGCTAGAAGACACAATAATGAGGAATGAGACTGAGGTTGGTATAACCCAATCTATGCTGGATTGTTGATATCTTACACATGACTGTAAGGCTGAATCACCCAAAATATGCTGATGCTTGCTTTCAAAATGATTACTCCAGGATTATAGAGTGAAAAATGGCCTGGAAGGAAAAAAAGTGAATTCATCCTCAATTATTCTGAATTTATGGACTTTGATTTCTTCACATGTGCTGGATTATTTCATTCTTTAAATTTCCAAGATTTATCATAATATCTGATATATA